AAAGGGTTTTTATCATTTATGCCATCGATTGTCTCCCACTACTCAGTTTTGCCACTAGGAATTTCAACTGCTCAAAAATGCCATCGCTGTGTTAGACATATGTTCAAAAATGCCACTGAACACCATTATTGTGATCTCAAATCTCTTTTGCCATGTTATAATGACATAAATACCTATGAACCAACATGCCAGCTCTCCTTCTATCTTACTACAATAAAGTGTGGGGCCCACTTGATCCCAACGACGTTCTTATTTTTTTATAAAATTATTCGCTTGATTACTCCGGACAAGTGGGGCCACACTTATCATTGTGAGATAGAGAGAACTGACATGTGGGTCTAGGCTTATTTTTGTCATATAACATGGTCAATGAGTTTGATGTGAAAATAACGATGTCTAATGGCATTTTTGAGGAAACATCTAACGGAACGTTGGCATTTTTGAGCAAACATCTCACGGATCGATGTCATTTTGAGTAGTTGTAATTTCTAATGGCAAAACTGAGTAGTGGGACACAACTAGTGGCAAAAATGATAAAAACCCTTGATAAAATTAGGCACTGCATTTTTTCAAATTATTGGCAAAATACACTCATGGACAGTTTTAAAGAAAACAAAAGTGCGTAATTTTCCTCTGCTTTGTGTTGAAGTCCTCTTGTATAGGGCATTTGAGGTTCTGTTTAGTGCATAATTTGGCGAATCTTTTGCAGCAGACACTCATTTATTTGCTTTGCCATGAAATTTCCTACATATGACCGTCCTGTCTATCCAGGTGCCATAATTTTATGTTTGACATCTAATAAGTTAACTTCAAATTTGAATGCCATGTATAGCATTTTCAGAATTGGAGTGACGGCATCGGTCGTCGCTACTACTTTAGTGATCTAAAACGTCTTATATTAGCTTACAAACGTAGTATTTGGGTTGTCATTGACATCACACATTGACTGGCGATGTTGCATGTCAGAGGGGTCTACTCATACGTGCAGTTTTCCATTGTCTCTGGTGATTCTTTTCTTTATTTCCCACCTTGCACGTTTGGTATATTCATGGGTTCACCCTTCTTTCTAATATTTTAGTTTACTAAAATCGTAACAATTGGTGTCAAAACCTTATATTCGATGCTATTGCAGATCAGTACCATTACCCTGTTTGCAGATTTTTAGTTAACCTGTATTAGAAGAAATCATACGCCAACTTACAACCCTACTAAAAAAAGATATTAGAAAATCAAATAAAACGTAAGCCAAAAAGATGACCAATACATTGGTACTATTTGGATCATGCTTCTTACATATATGTTTGATTACATTATCTATACAATTCTATAATTGTCCACATTATTTTCCTTAGCTTAACATGCCATTGCATTCCATACATAACTATCTGTTATAACAACAATTATAAGGTGAACCATGCTTGCCGCGACTTGCACATTTTTAGTGTTCAATGGACTAAGACCAGAGTTTTCCGGTCTGTACACATTCTATTTGCATTACATTGTTCTGTAAAATAATACTGACAGCTTCATCATTGTGTTCTACAGGAAGGTATTGATGCCACTAGAGATAATAAACCATTTGGATCCCAATACCATACCATGTTGATCTACACCTGGTCTGCTTTCTCTCCTATTTATGCTTTCGTTTCAATGGTTCTAAGGCTCGCACATAATGATTAAGAAAAGTAGCACAATGTTTTTTTGGCTATTTGCTATCGATGGCATGTTGCAGTTTGCCATGGACCATGCTAAACGTGCATCTATCCAAGGAATAATGTACCTTATGGGATTTCTCATATATTTGTAGATTTATTGTATTTTCTTTGAATTGGATTGTAGATCTGTTTTTGTGTTGTCAGAATAAACAATGCATGAATTCGGTAACTGATTTTATAGCTGCAATCTCCTAAGCACAATTACTCATGCTTTATTTTCTAATTTTCAGTTTTCTTTTGTCGTTAAATACTATACAGCTTGGTTTTGTTACTAACTTTAATCCAACCATATATTTACATCAATCACTATTATTTTAGTGACAAAATAGACGGGCGCAGCAACGCACGCCATCATGGTCTAGTCAGGAGTTACGATCACAGGCTTGTTCACCTGCCCCCAGGCTGCAGCAGTGCTTCTTGTTTGTGTCGATTGCTACAGCTTCCTGAGCAAATGTCCACCCGCAGGCGGGGTCGCATCAGATCCAAAGCTCTCGCCCGTGTCCACCCGCAGGCGCTACAACGTGATGCAGAGGGCCAACTCGTCCTCGTCTACGGCAGCATGGCGGGGGAAATGTTCCAATCTTCGTCGCTGGAGCCGTCGAAGTGGCTGCAGGTGCTGGACATGGTCGCCGGAGATTGGGAGTTGACGGATTGGAGAAAGGGGGAACGAAGCGGAGCAGAGTGAAGTAAGGCTAAGGTTCGATCCGGATGGGGTTTTTGTGAAGTCATTGTTGGCCAAAGGTGGGCTGTGTGGACATGACGGACATGCCCGAACCGTCTCTTATCCGCCCTACATTTGGGCTGAAAATGAGGGATGTCGGTCAGCCCATGCGTTTGAGGTCGATTTAAAGCATCCGAATAAGTCGGGTATTTTGACCGGTCCTCCCGCCCGGGCATTTGATGGATTTGAGGCGCTCGGCCATTAGGGGCTCACGCACGTTTTGGTGAATCACTTTTGGCATTGTGCGGCCATACATGGTCATGGAATTAACGGTCCGTAGATCGTGTAGCTAGCACAACTTGGCATGGGCACCGGACCGGATACATGTTGTTCATGTGCTGTATACTCACACAGGCTTCACTAATGCTCCAGATCTTTCTTCAGTCTGAGTTGGGTTAGAAGCATGGAAGGTATTTGCACCATCACCGTCCTCAATTGGTGAGG